ATAATACAAGCCTCGAGATTGGCTGGCTGGCCTTCATACTAGCCAATCAGATTGATTCTCACTTTTCTTGCACATCTGGGCTTTTCAATGGCAGTTTCTATGATAGTTTACTGTGTTCTGTGATTTTTACATGGATTTTTTTTTTTTTTGTGTTCCAAGTGAGAACTTGTGAAAAGGGCTCAATCTGAAACTCTAAATGAGGTTCTGTCACCAAAAGGGTTAATAAGTGAATTAAGCTGAATAAATTTTGTTTGAACTGAAACCTGAAATGGCTTCAACTTGGGCCTTGTTTAAAATAAATAAATAAAAAAAAATAACCCTGCAAACAGAAAATAACTAAAAAAAATAAGTAAAGTAAAAAGCATTAAAATGAAATTACTTAGAATCAAAATGCTTGTCTTTGTTTTAATTTGGACATTTTGGGGCTCAATTGATAAATTAATATTAGTTATTAATGGAGCAGCTTTTTGGATTTGCTTTTATAATTCTTTTCTGAAATGATCTTTTATTTATTTTTGTTAATATTCTATTTGATGACATACTATACCTTACTATTTCATGCACCTCCAAAAACAGTGAATTTAAAAAAAAAAAAAAAGAAGAAGCAAGACAACTTCGAAAAAAAAGGAAAGGAAAGGGAAAGCCTTTTTGAAAGCATTTCAACCTTATTTAAAGAAAAAGAAAAAAACAACAACAACTGTTTGACCTTAAATGATCTCTTGCTGATCGATGGGTCATTAAGTTTTAAACAAACAAACAAACCTTACTATTTCAGGATGGAATATAAGTTAAAAAATGTAATCAACAGTATTTAAGGTTAAATATTGTTTTCACTTACGAAAAAGTTTTTTTTTTTTTTCAGTTAGATTTTGTGTACTGCCAAATGTGCTTTTTATTGTTTAAAGTAATACTTCCATTTCTTTTTTTTTTTTAATAAAGCCTTTTAGGCAAATAACATTATTATTACTATTAGATCATTATAAGCTGCAATATGGATAAGTTATGTGCCATACATGATACACACTTAGGCGATCATGTATCTTTTGATACATGACTAACGAGGCAGATTTTTTCCCACAGTAGGTTGCCATTTCTTTCTGTGGTAGACCAGTTTCCATCCAAGGCTATAGAACCCAGTCTGTCCTGCTATTTACCCATAGCTGGGGGGAGAAGAAGAGTATTCATACCTTTCCCAAGGGTATCAGCATGTAAGTAAATGTAATGTATTCGTCTGAAATTCGAACTCGGCTCTCCGATTCCTCAATCCAAGAAGATTTATAAAACAACAGTTAAAACTTTTATTCACTATTTATTATATAATGACACAGCAAATATTAAAAGCATATATAGAATGTGAATAATGGGAAATTATTTTACTGTAGAAATGCATTGCTAAGATATATCAAAAAAAATTATTCTAATTTTGGTGATATAGAAAATACTAAAACCATATAAAGAAATTAATGGGAAATTATTTTACTGTAGAAATACATTGCTAGGCTTTAAGATAAATAAAGGTACTTGACTTAGATATAGAGGTACTAGAGGAAATAAAAAATTATTTTGTGAGATTACTAAGATTTATTGCAAAAATGAATCTTTTAACTGGCATATGACGTTTATTACAGGATGTTATTATAATTGTTCAATTTTATTAGTTACTAGCAGTAGAACCTGGCGTTGCAACAGTAAGAGATAAATCAAGTATTGACCATCATAAAGACTGAAAAATAAAATTGACAAAGATTATTGTTTAAGGTTGACGGACACGCATGTCTTAATTAGTTTGTTTTTTCTTTTGTTTTTTTTCTTTTTACAAATTGGTCAAACCCAAACTCAAACAAAAACATTGTTTTCAATCGTTATGAGTCTATCGATTGAATAGAATTTTATTATAAACAATTGTCTTGTAAATGGAATTTTTAAAGCATTCTGAATGTAAAAATAAAGAAAAAAGTGTGCAAGACAATAAGAAACACTGCCTGCCAAAAAAAAAGTGAAGATTTGTTGAAATCGGTTGAAATCGGTTGAAAAATGTAGGAAATTCGATCCCATATATAAACGGACACACACACACAACCTGGGTTTTATAATAAGTATAACTCGATATGAGTTGTCCCCCTTTCATTCTGGCAACAGAATTGTGTTTTATCGTGTTTTCAAATTGATTTCGTGCAAAAACAATTGTGTTTTTCCAATTTTTGGCACTGTCAGAACCACTGCAAAGTAATTTTATGCAGTTCTGTGAAGTTTTGTTGAAATCGATTGAAAAATGTAGGAAATCCGATTCAATATATAAACTTATACACACACACACGGACACACACAATCTGCGTTTTATAATAAGTAAGATTTTTAACAGAAATTAAAATTAAATAAAAGCTAGTAAATCAAGATATATAGGCTAATTATATTTAAACAATAACCACTCCTCCTACTTATAGAAGTATGGCTGAAAGGACTTAATATAAATTTACTAAAAATCTCAGGGTGAACAGAGTGAGCCTTTCTCAGCATCAAGAAAATTGTTGTTATAGGAGCTATCACACTGATAGTTGTTTAATCCACTTCACTCTTAAATGAAGCTCTTTATAACATTTTTGATATATACACATTGTTATCATTACTACTATTGTTAAGATTTATTAAACATGTCTAAAGATTTCATTATAATTTTATTGGTTACATATTTAGTGTCACAGCAAATATTAAAACCATATATTAATAAGCAGATATCAACATTTCTATGGTACATTTTGTCTTTGAACAGACTTAGTCACTAAGATTAATGTTGTATTTGACAGCATAAAAAACACCCACTTTTCACTTAATTAGTTAGTTACAAGTATGTTTAGCTGATAGCATCTGTGTAAACATTAGCCTACCAGACAGTCTACAAGACCAAAAGGAAATTTTTTATAGGGATGGCTGGGAAGCAGGTTTTTAGTGATTCAAAAGGCTTGATATTTTCTTCTGATGGAAAATTTATGCAGAATATTAACTTACGACATTATACTTCTCATTGTAGATTTTTCTTCTATGTACCATGTCCCTTCTGGATGTAGGTGATCATGGCTCTTCACAATTTCCTGTCCTTTGTAGCTCTTAATAAATTTTGTCTTTCTGTCATCCCTTGTTCTCTCATCCATTTACTCAAGCTTGCTAGGTAGGTTATGCATTATTTTCCTTTGTGAATATCAAATTCTCTAAGCTTTCTTTTCTTGTTATGTGTCTTAAGAATTTCAATTCTTTATTATTCTGAGCATAAGTGTAGTAAATTTTGCTATCTCTGCTAATCCCTGTTCTGTCAGCCATTTTACACAAGCTCATTAGGTAGGTAGGTTATGTGCTGTTTTCCCCTGTTCTGCTTGCCTTCAATATGTCATGTGAGTGTTAAATTTTCCAAGCACCCTTTTCAAATTGTGCCCTAAAAATCTCAACTTTCTCATCCTGATTTTAAGTATAAATATACTTTTTGTTTCCATTTGTTGTTGCTCACATGTTCAGTCCATGGTATCCCCAACATTCTTCTGTAGAACCACATTTTTCTTGTTTCAGGTCTCTTCATCTGTGGGGATATTCTCCAGGATTCACTCTATATTGGAGGACTGAGAGATAGAAATGTAAATTAAAATCAATTGATCAGTTAATACTCAGATTTAGTTATGGAAATACTGATTTTTGGGAAGTTGGTCAGGCTGAGAATATTTCAGCACCATCATGTTTTGTTTGGAAATTATTAACTTAATAGCTATGTAAGCCCCTTCTTTAAAAGTTTATAATTGTCCAATCTTAACTAAAGACTTATGTGCCCTTAATGTGAATACTTTCATGTTAATTGTTCAGAAGAATTCTTTGCTATGGTACCTAGACTTTATGCATTTAAGCACAGTACTAGATTGACAGCAAGGTGTCATGAATTCACAGTTGAATTGGCTAGATGTCACAGTAAGTTCTATGCCAGCAGTTTCTTTTCTTGACCTTCTGGCTTGTGTAATTCTCTCCTGGCTTCATGATTTCTAGCCAACTTTGATCTTCAAAAATTTGAATGCAATGTCAATCAGTATCTACTGTCTTCTTGATTACTCTTCTATTGTTATTGCTCTTCAATAATGTTTCTCTTTTTTTCTTATTCTTTTACTCTCAGTAATCCTTTGTGTCTTAGTGGCTTTACTGCCTTACCTGGGCTGAAATGATTAAAAATATATATATATATATATATATATATATATATAAAATATTGTTACCTAAACAAAGAAATCTGTGAAGATCATTCATGGGTCTATGAATGAAGAATCATAATAACATTACTGCATTTTTTTTAATAAAGGTAATAATGCTACAAGAATGCAGGGGGTTACAGGGAGAGAAAGTAAAAAAAGAATAAGAAAACTGAAAATAATGACGATTCAGGAAAGGACAAAAAAAAAAAAAAAACAGAGTTCAAGAAAACAGATGATGGCAATTGATGTTGTACTTAAACTTTTGAAGATTGTAGTTATCAGGGAGGCAAGAAATCTGCAGTTCTACAGATGGGAAGTGCAAGAAAAACAATACAAGTAGCAGTTGCATCTAGCTAGTGCAACAGTAAAATTGTGAGATTTAGTTACCAATCTAGTAGTATTCTTAAATTCATGTACTTGGTGAACCAGGGTTAAAAATCTCATCAGAACATTTGCCATGAAAATATTTGTAAAAAAAAAAAAAAAAAAGAGAAGCTATGTCAGGTTGGTAAGAAAGTGACTGAAGTCAAGATTTCAGGTCAGGATGGATTACATTATGGACCTTTCTTTTGGATTCTTGAAAATTTAATTATATCAGTATGAAATCTTGCAATTTTTTGATCAAGTTTCAGTATTTCATCTCTGTTATGCGTTGAAAATTAATAAAAATGAATTGCCATGCTCTTGGAAGTCCAAGATTTAAATAATATATAATAAAGACTTATGTATATGTGTGTGCCTGCTGTTGGTTACTAATCTTATATTTTACTGTTTCAGGTTTGGTTGTTGGTGCAGTTATCCGTTATGCTGGGGGTCCATCATCAGAGCATCACCCACCCCGGGCAAAGCTTGTCAATTCAACTCTGTCTGCTGAACACATTCCAAATTCTATATACTTGGAATTGCCTATACCAAACAAAACACATACACAGACTTTACAATATAACTTCTATAGTAAAGTGAAGACTGCTACACAAGGTGTGCCTTTAGAGAGAACTGTAAGTGAAATACCGTTTTTTTTTTGTTGTTGTTGTTTTTTACATACTCAAACCATTCAGGAATTTCTTTCAAATTAATGTGATTTTTACTTGATATTAATCTTTCTTTCATTGTATGAAGTCTCCCCAAAAAGTATAGTATCCAGTAATTTAATGCTAATAAAAAAAAAATAGTCTGCTTAGTGGAATGGTGCTTTAGAACTCTTCAGATGCCTGATACATTTATAGTATTGTCCCTTTCACTTTTTAAGACCATATGTAAAGTTGTCTTTTCACTTATCTTGTCGCATTCTCCTTGATCTCGTCCATGGCATTAAAAAAATGATTTTTCACTGGGAAAACAACACTACTTGATTTGGCATTAAATGACTCGCTTGGACTTGATATTTCAATCTTGGTAAAATCCAAAAGTTGCAGGGTACCAAATCTGGTTAGGGTTGACATGGCTATTTGCTGTGATATTTTGCCAAAAATCTTGCACAACATGTGAATGGGAAGACCCATATTGTCATGATGGATATGAGGGTTATACATTATACAATTTTACTCAATGGCATCACTATATTGATTGAGTAACCTCATAGAATGTTGGTTTTCACTTATATAGTGAGGTTGTACTCTCTGTCTGCTAAGTTTCATCAAAGTTACACAAATGGTTCTGGAGATAATCAAAATGGATGCATACTTTCCAAACAGACCTTATAAAAATAACATTTAAAGCTTTACTAAATTGTTTTTTTTAATTATCTTATCTGTTATCAGTTGATTGAGAAACACTAATAACTTGCTTGATAATCTTAACATTACTAAATGAATGTAACAATTCAGTGAATTTTCAAATAACTAAAGGCAGGCAATTTATACATTTTGGTAACCACCACTTACAGAAGAATGAATACCAATTAAACAAGTTCTTAAAAGAAGAATTTGATGATTAAAACCATGGCCAAAATTACTTTGAGCAAATTTCAGTCCTCAATTTGTCAAATATACATTGAAAATCAGAAAGAAAGGGATTATTAGTATTCAAGAATTATTGGTAGAATAGTCTTGTTATATGTATAGTGTAAATACATTGATTATGATTTTACTATAAAAATGCATTAAAAATTGCAAAGATAGGCATTTTCAGTGATCATTACTGATAAAACAGTACAATTATATAGATAATATTAACATGTTACTGATGATTTTATTAGAGAAAATCAGAAAGAAACGAATTGTCAGGGTTTATGATAAATGTACTTTATTCTTTGGTAAGTTATATACTGACTACTTAAAATGTTTGTACTTCATGAACTTCATTGATGTTTTTTTTTTTTTCATTTCCAGCCTCAACTTAGCATAAATTAAAATCTTCAAATCATTCATATTCATTTTTAAGAACAATTTTCAGTTGAAAATTATAGTCTGAAAATGATAACATTTAGGTAATATAGCCTGAAAATGACAAGACATTTGAAGATTACGATCTGAAAATGACAGGCCATTTGAAGATTATGGTCTGAAAATGACAGGCCATTTGAAGATTACGGTCTGAAAATGGCAGGCCATTTGAAGATTACGGTCTGAAAATGGCAGGCCATTTGAAGATTATGGTCTGAAAATGAGATTTAAGTATAATGCCAGTATTTTCTTACCTATAAGTTCATAAAAACTTTTTTGAGACCATAATCCTTAAATATCTTTTTGAGGCTTATATTAGAGTTCATTTCCTTAAATGAACTCTAATATAAGCCATCTTAAGTGTTTAGAGAAGTCACTTTTTGCTTAATGCAGTACAGCTAATGGGCTATCAATAGATTTTGTGTCAGGTAAATTTTATCTCTGAAAAATACAAATGAAATAAGAGGAAATACTATTAAAAGAAAATAAATAAAAGATGATAACTGTAAAATATTCACATCATTTGTATTGCTGTGGACATTTTTTTTTTCTTGCATACTTAAGAAAACTTTATGGAAATCAACATTGAGTACAGGTGAGAATGAAGTCTTTTATGTCGTATACAAGAAATCAATAATTTAATTGCCGTTTTAATTCTCCATCAAACAAAATAAACACCTGTTACTTTTCACTTGGGATTTAATGTGTTTGCAAACCAGGACTATAAATCACTTTCTTTATTAGATTAAAATAGATTCTGAAATCACCATTAACCTTTGCTGAATTATGTTTTTAGTTTTAGAAAATTGGTAAAATTTAACTTTGCATATAAACCTAATAGCAATGAAAACTTTTAACAATAAAGTATTGCTTTATTATGTCGACAAGCTACAAAACTAATGGTATTTCAAGTTTGAATTGAGGTAAATAATAAAGGCCAGAAATTTAATTCAGAACCTCCATTAAAAACAAGATGAATTAAGTACCATATTTGATGCCATATAAGATGCATGGGTGTATAGGATGCACCCTAATTTCAGCAGGGCAAATCAAGAAAAAATTAGTAAACCTATGTATGGAATATAAGATACAGAGAAATTTTAAGATTTTTTTAGTTAAAAAAAAAAAAAAAAGGTGCGCCTTATATGCTGTCAAATATGTTAGTTAGAAAAAGATATTGATTATTAATGACACTTCATAATGGAAATTGGGTTGGGAGAGGAGTGGAACAAAGAACTCCCAAACAAACAAAAATCCCCAAATAAACAGGTTGCATGTAATTTTTACATCCATATCTATTTTTTCTCTCTAAAGCCTTACAGGAATGGTGTAGCAAAAATAAAGATTCTTAACACTTAAGAGTTATTTACATTCAGACTGTTGTCCTCATCTTTGTTGTTATTATCACAATGTTCTGGCCACCAAGTCCTCCAGAATCTTTAGGTGCTTGTTGATCCAAGTAATCTTCAGAACAATCTACACCCAAGATTCAGTTTGAAATAACCGTGAAGGTTTTCTGGACCAACAAGTACCTGAAGAAGACTGGAGAGCATAGGGGATGAAATGTGATAATAACAAGAGTCCTAATGTAAATAATGATAACTCCTTATCCTTAAATTTCAGACAGAAGTTAAGAGTTATGAACTTTTAACTGTGTTTTTCAGCATTTTATTCTTGATGAAGGCATTGCCCATGTGAAACTTACTGTTATCTCAGATGTAAATTCAAGGTTTTTTAGAAGCAACAACCATATTTGATGGCATATAAGATGAATTTTTTTATCCTAAAAATATCTTTTAAAATTCCCCTGCGTCTTATATGTCATATGTAGGTTTAAAAGCTGATAACTCTTATTAGCTTAGACTTTAGAGTACCTTTCATATACCTATTGTCATTATTTAAAAGACTGTTATGCAGATTAAAAGTGTTATTATTGATAATATTCATTATATTAATTTCATCCCTTTTAATATTAGTACTTTGTTCCACTAAAATTATGGCCACATCACATTGAAACACCGGTTCCTGTATGATCACCAAGTTAAGCAACATCAAGCCTGGTCAGTACTTAGATGAGTGACCACTTGGGAATACCAGGTGCTGTAAGCTTGAATGTACGGCTGGTGTAATGGATAATTGCTTGGAATTGTTAATCAGAGAACCGAGTTCCAATTGGGATCGTTATATTCACTTATACGCAAATACCCTTGACATAAGTATGAATCTACTCCTTCTTTCCCCAGCTAGAGATTAATTAGTAAGACTTGCATCACTAAACTATTATTATCACCCCATCCTACCAAATTCTTCGAATCTAAAAATTATTTTCAGGCTTTAAATAACCTGCAAAGGGTTGATAAACCATAGAAAACTAATCAATCATCATTGTGGTTAATAGAATTGTAAAAATCATTGTTCATGGGATCTTCATCATTGTCATTCTGAAAAGAATCAAAATTTGTCATTGTTCTTAACGAAATTGTTGTCATTGTTCTTACAAGAAACACTGTGATCAATAGAATTGTCTTCATTGTCATTCTAAGTTGAATACTGAATAAAATCATGGATTTGTTTTTAAAAGAATCATTATATAACCATTATCATTGTAGAATTGTTGTTCTTCATAGAAATTTTGTTAGCAGTGTATTGAATAAAACCATTATTTTTACTACCATCATCACTGAAAGAATTAAAATCTTCATTAATAGAATCATAATTAACAATAAAACCATTATTATTGTTTCTAATAATTATTAATTATAGTCATCATCATTATTGTTATTAATACAATAGTAATTAATAGATTTAACATTATTGTCCTTGGCAGAATTATCATCATCATTACTCTAAGACTGGTTATTACAGTTTTGAAGCATATAAGATTGGTGGCTATCATGCTGTGAGATTTCCTTCATCTCAGAATGGATTGTATTGGGAACATGTGGAGTGGGAAAGATTTTTAAATAAAGAATTTATTTGTATAAGAAGAAATTATTATTCACTCAGATCGGTTTTCCAAGATGGGATTATATTTCTAATGTAATGCTGTTGAAGTTTTGAATGTAACCTGATTAAATCTGGCAAGCAACTAACAAATTATCAGATGCCAAGTTGTGGCAACACCAATCATGTACAGTTCTGTGACAGAAGATCAGATTGCATCATGATATGTGACCAACATATATTTTCAAAGTAGCCCCCATCAAAACAAAAACAGGACAAAAGAGCAGCCCACAAGTAATATATGGAGATCAAAATATTTGAAGACAAAGAGCCTCATGAACCTATACTGAGAATGATACTAAAGGCAAATTACTTCTCCTTGACCCCACTTTGCTTGAAGATGTACTGGTGAAGTTCAGCTAAGTTCCAACATAAGTGCTGACCACTTGTAACTGAAGACTTTTAGTCTGTAGCTCTCATTCAATATCAACTTTGCTCTTTTTATCTCTTCTGACTACTTCAATCTCAGAAGATTAACCTGTTAAACTATTAATCTTCATTTAGTAAGCAGAGCACCTCAGCAGGAAGAGTTACCTTGACTGTAACCCAGATAATGAATAAAGGTTTTATTATTATTTAACATATAGGGTATTCCAATAACTTGGACTAATTTTAAATTTGAATTAAGTTTAAGCATCTAATGATTTTTTTCTTTTTTGTTCAGATTTAACATCTTAAATCTTTGGCAATTTCAACCATGGAAAGATTAACAATCAAACAATGTGTTAAGGTTATTGAAGCTGGTTACAAAAATGGATATTCAAACAGAAATGCATTTCATGCACTTCACGATTTTTTTTGTCAACATAATTAACCAACTGAGAGTGCAACTAGAAAAATTGTTTGTAAATTCGAACAAACTGAGTCAGTGGCAGATGTGAAAACATCATTGCATGCTCGTTTACACCGTTCAGCTGCAAACATTGCTGCAGTACTTGAGAATGTGGCCGAAAATCCAGACACCTCTACTTGTCATTGCATGCAGGAATTGAACCCCCCCTCCAAAACAATGTTACATCTAATTTTGACAAAAGATTTGTCTCTACACACTTACAAAATTCAATTGATACAAGAACTAAAACCTGCTGACCATTTGGAATGTTGTACATTCATCAATTGGGTGCACGAGCAAAGACAAGTTGAAGATTTTTTACAAAAAAATCCTCTTTGGTGATGAAGTCCATTTTCATCTTGGTGACTTCAATAATAAGCAGAATTGTCACATTTGGGCTGATGAAAATCCAAGGAACATTGTTGAAAGCCACTTCATCCACAGAAGGTCACTGTTTGGCAAGCATATTTTGCTAGTGGAATCATTGAGCCGTATATTTATAAATTTGAGTGTCCATTTTTGTAATAGGCTTTGATAACTTTAACACATTGTTTGATTGTTAATCTTTCCTTGGTTGAAATTTTCAGACTTAAATTGTTAAATCTGAAAGAAAAAGAAAAAAATAATCATTAGACACTTAAACTTAATTCATATTTAAAATCGGTCCAAATTATTGGAGGACTGTATATAAAATAAGCTTGAGGTTACTAACATTTCAGTGTCTTTACTTTGTGATTTCAAACAACTTCAACATCTTTTGTACATTTTCCCATTTTTTTTTTTTTTTTTTTTTTTTTTTTTTGTGCAACTATCAAATATTTATTTTACCTGGACATCAAATAGGCATTCATACTGAACTTGGCATCAACATGGTTAGTTGAAGGAATCTTCAGTTAACCCACTTGACTATGGAAGATCAACTCATTCAAAGATAGATGTCACTTTTAAATGTCTCCTAAACTTTAATACAGCACCAACAGTACCAGAAGCTAACATTGTTTGATTTGGGCATTTGTCACTATAGTTGAATCTTTGATGAAAGTGCTTCTTCTTCAGAAATTTGGAAAACACAGGATTTTTATTCCATGTCTTTCTCTTGCTAGACTTGTATTTATTAAATCTGGAGATGAAAATAAAAAAAAATTAAATGTTTAAAAGATAATAGACTCTAAGTTTCAAAATGGTAAAGTTTTATTTGCAAAATATATCTTAACCTTTATCACTTTGTATGTGACTTCATTTGCTGTACAAAAAGTTTATCCTGCCACTGAAGGTGACTCTGATCCCTGAAAAATAGATTGTTTGAATTTCATAGTTGTGTTGTCATATCCTGCTATAACAACAGAAAATAACTTTGAGTGAAATTAAAAGCAATCATTGAGTAAGTTATGCTGCCACTGTTGCTCAGCCATTTTTGAATAGAAAACCTTAGGGGTAGGAGAGATTCACTGTGTTAATCAAAGGTTATGTGTTTGAGGATTTTCTGTTTAATGATATTCAAAACAGAATGATGTATGATTGTTGGATGAATTTTCAAATCAAACATACAGATATTAGGCAAGTCTTTCAATTGTTCTGCTGTATTTATTCCAAGTATTTTTTTATATTCAAAGTGATAAAAAGTAATTCTGAATAAATGAGATACATGAAAAATAGTAATTGTATTAATATTTCAATTTTGAAATGATTGCTAAAATAAATATGTTTGAATTTGTGCAATGGAAAATTGTTATACCTTAATCTATTTGGACTCGTATCCTCATCTTGGTTGTTTATAGTCATTTCTATATGGATTTCAGGGATGAGGAATTATTATTATACATTAATCTGTCGGAGTTAACTCCTCCTTTCACTCCGTTAACCCTTTCACCAGGGGTCTCTCTTTCCTGGCTATAAATAGCCGCTGACCCTTCACCTCGATCTCTTTTTTCCTTCAGGCCTGTGCACCAACACCTCGAGGTAAATTTCTCTTATTTCCTAGAGGATTTCAGCTATCAACCTCGAAATGTAGTCGCTAACAAGGAATAGCGTGGAAACACGCTAATCACAATATACACACACGCACAGAATATTCACACACACTTCGTCCATTGTACTGTTTCCATGTATTGTAACTTGTTATTAATATATATTTGTATATACATATATTATCGGTCTTGTTTTGTTTGCTTTCTTTACCTTCTTCTTTGGACTTAATCAAAGTCCAACCTTTTTATGTAGTTGGGCTCGGCGGGCAGGAGTATCTGAACCTTGCGTTTCTTCTACGTCTGACTTCTATCAACAACATTACAGCCACGCCATGAACCCTCAACAAATCGTAACCGCCACGGCCCTCTACAAATCTATTTGGACTAGTGTTGTAAAGTAGCTGAACACCCCCATATACATCACTCTTTCTTACTGAGGGAGAAGAGTTAACGATTAACTGTTTATTACATTAGTCTGTGTTCTCAACCATGTACCATATTATTCTTCAGAATAAACTATTTCTTACTTTCTATATGTGTGTCAACCTTTCCTATATACGATACGACATTTGGCAATGAGGGATTCGAATGTTACAATTTGCAGTGGGATACCAACATTTGGCAATGAAAATTTTGAGTTTAAAAATTTTCAGTGTAATACCAACACTGACCAAGGATTTGGGTTTAAAGAAATTTACAGTCATATACCAAGAAATTAATGGCAACGATTCAACTTTGGATTAATCCTAGGTCTGCATAACAGACATGTTACAAACAAGTAATAGTGGAATTCATGAATATCCAGCAGAAATGACAGTTTAGACCAAGAATGCTGTAAAAAACAAAACGAATGGTTTGAAAAATGTTTGAATTGTTAGTGTTGAAAAAGGAAAAAGAGCAAGCCAATGCAAATTCTTTTTCTCAGGATTTAGTGATAAATTCTGAATTTAAGTATAGTCCTGAGAAGGAGGTAAATTTTGCAGTGTATTTTTGCCATTATGAAATTTTTCAAAAAGATTGTGCTACATGGTCAGATGCAAAGAAAACACATCTGTTGCTCGGAAAATTTGGTCCAAGTGAACACGAAAAGTATGTGAACCAAATACTTCTGAGAAATCCTGGGGAAATATTTTTTGAGGAAACTGTCTTCATTCTGAAAAAAAATTTGGAGGGGAAAAGTTCTCTATTTAACACAAAATGGCAGTGTTTAAATCTTCCAAAGAGAGAGAAAAAAAAAAAAAGTGGAGATGATTATTTGACTTTCAATGGGATGGTCAATAGAAAGTGTGAAATGTTTAAATTAAA